TAACCGCGCCTCTGCCCCTGGGATCCCATAAAAAGTCCCCCTTGCCCTAGGAAAGGGCGCAAGTCCTCCAAGAGACTTCGCCCCAGGTACCTGGTCTAAATAAACCCTCTTGCTTTTGCATCTGATCTGTGGTTTCGGTGTGTTCCTTGGGTTTTGGGTATCTCTCCCGGAGGAAGATCTCCCCTGGGGGTCTTTCAATATTTCTAGTAAAATGAAATAATTTTTGGCATTACAACATAAAACACATTACAGGGATACCATATACTACAGGACAAGTAATTGTTGAAAGGTCTAATCATACTCTAAAGGAGATGCTTGTTAAACAAAAGGGGGATGTGAGGACCCCCAGGGATAGACTACATAATGCTTTACTAGCCTTAAAGTAACACCAAGGAAACAGGGACAACAGCTGCTGAGAGACAGCAGCTAAAAACTGCTAAATTGGGTCAGCCAATATATTATAAAGATTTTTTAACTTGTTTATGGATCCCAAGAAAAGTGTTAAGATGGGGCTAAGGGTATGCTTGTGTTTCCACAGGATATTAAAAAAATTGTGAATCCCATCAAAATTGATAAAAATCTGGCATGAGCAAGAGGAAGCTCTTGGATGCTTTGCCTGTGGAGATGCATCTGCAAAAGGAGAAACACACAAGGCCTTTGGAGCACACTGCTAGTCCTCCCACCCGGGGACAGCTCAAGAATTGTGTGACAAAGGGGAAACTATAATTTGAATGATTGACTCAGAAACCTTTGAGTGCTACAAATCTGTCCTTGCCATGCTATTGGTGGTAACTATGCAGGTAATGGGGACTGATCATAATTACTGGGTCTTTATTCCTAATCCTCCAATAAATTTAGCAGTAAGTTGGGGAGAGATGGATATTACTGTGGTGGTTAATGAATCTGCTTGGCTACCTGGTCCTTATGGCAACTGAAGACCAGCTCAGCCAATGGAGGAGCATAAAGAGATTAAAAATTACACTGTGGTGCATGAGAGGTGGATCTCTGTGAGTTCGAGGGCAGCCTGGGCTACAGAGTGAGATCCAGGACAGGCTCCAAAGCAACACAGAGAAACCCTGTCAAAAAAAAAATTATGCTGTGGGAGTACAAAGAATTCCTATTTGTATAGAAAATGGAATTCAATGTCTAAATATAACCTTTCAAGTGTGGCTATCTATAGTCAATACTGTTAGGATTCTGCCACTCCAGCTATATGACCACACATGCACAGTTCAGTGCACTGTGTGATTGCACAAATGTGTGTAGCGTGGTCATGCAATCAACGCGTGTGTGGCATAGCTCTGTAAGCCCACTTGTGCATGTGCAAGAGAATTCTTAAAAAGCCGGACACAGGCTCCTCCCTTCTCTTTTGCTCTCCCCCCCCCTTCCTGGCCACGCTCTTTTCTGTTCCCCCACTTCCTCCTAATAAAGCTCTGATACTGGCTTTTGTCATGCCTCTGACCTTTCCTCTATATGCTTCATGCATCTGGTTTTAAAGAATAGAAGATTAATGCTACTGGTCCCATAAATCTACCATTTTGTGAAATGAGGGTTACCAACAAGGAATCTGACTGAGTGCATTGGCAGCAATGTAGGAGAAACCCCGAGTGCTAATTAATATCTCCCATGGAGACATCATTGATTGGAGCCCTTATGGCTCCCCTCAAGGAAATATTCTCACTCATTTAAGATGGAAGTGGTACAGTTTGAATGGAACTGTAGAAATTAGTTCTTCTGTTAATGAACCTATCCAATGGCATGGAATTGGAATGTCAAGTGTCTCCTACAATTTGGAAATTCAATTCAGACTAACTTGTGGAAATTAACAAGTGCCTTCCACCCTCTTAAAGCATGGGAAGGAAAGTTAAACATTAAGGATGATAAGTATATTTTGTCCTTTAGACTAAACCAAAGCCATCCTTTTATGCCATGTGTACCATTACCTTACTTGCTACTAAAGGGGCCTGTACAATGACACCCTAATAATTACAGCATCACTTGTGAATGCTGTACCCTTCATACCTGTGCTAATTCTAGTGTGTCTTTAAACTTAACCTCTAAAAGTTTACACATTTTTAGAGCAAGTCCAGCAATCTGGATACTGGTGAAGTTGTCAAGGCCAAGACAAGACTCACCTGTGATGATCCTGACACAGAAGCTCGCTGAAAGAATATTAGGAAGAACGCATCGAATGGTTGGACTGATTATTGCTGTTATTATGGGAATTATTGCATTGGCTGCTACGGCTGCAACAGCCAGAGTCGCCCTTCATAAAGAAATTCAAACTAAGTTCATTAGAGACTGGCATAAGCAGTCTACAGAACTTTGGACTGAACAAAATAAAGTAGATAATGAGATAGTAAATGAATTAGCTGATTTGAGACAAGCTGTTACATTGTTGGGAGATATGTTAAAAATACTAAAGGAGCAAATAAAATTAAAATGTGATTGGAATGTTACATCCTATTTTATTGCACTGTTAAAGTTTAATGAAAGCAAGTATGATTGGGAAAAGGTTAAGATGCATTTGATGGGTCACCCTAATTCTTCTTAAATGATTTATGATCTACAGCAAGAAATTAAGGAAACTTTTACAAAAAAGTTACCTGATATGACAGGAACAGATGTTATGGAAAGCCTTGCAGATACGATAGCCTCATTCAACCCTGTGAATCACTTTAATAGATTTCTTGTTTTAGCCAGTGTTACCCTTGTGCTAGCAATAGTAATCTTATTGGTTTAAAAATGTGTTTTGGCTTACATGAGATTGTAAAACAGAAAGAGAAAGGCTGTATTTGCTGTAAAGGTACATAATCTCCAAAATAATTAATTGTTGCATATAAAAAAGGGGGATATGCTGGGGGGATTCCTGCAGAGTTACGGCTGGTTTGATTCTGGAGTGTTGGCACCCAGCCTTAATCTGCCTTTTGTGATTGCTACCTTTGGTCTCCCAGTTCCTCCTATGTGAATCTTGTCTGGAAGTTTTCTGAAGGTACAAAGCCCATGCAAACTTGGTTGAGGAACAACCCAGAAAACCGAATGCCTCTGGCTAAATTCTCCCTCATATCCGTAATAAAACCCTTCTCCTCAACCATACCTAGAAACAGTCATTGTTGTTTGGTTCTCACCAGAGAAGACTGCCTGGACATGGGTTTAAGCCAATAGAATGTCTTTATTAGCTGGCCAGTTACCACACTGTATGTTCAGGATCCATATAGCACTGAGCCTTTCTCAGGGTGAGCTTTAAATACAAAAACCATGTTCTGGGCTGACATACTTCAGTTAACAAGAACAGTTAGCCAGAAGCAGAACTACAGAAGCTAAAAAGCAAAGTTAGTACATTTAGACTTTCCCAGAACTATGGACTTTGATGGATTAGGCCTTTGTTTTCATTTGGGCAGGTGGTTCCGTCTACATGCTAAGTTTTACAGCCCGAATGGCACTTTTATCATGGAGTCAGTTGTGCTAAGATCTGGGGGCCTCTTAAGGTCTGGGGCCTCGTTACAGTCATGTCCTCACTTTCATTCATAAGGGACTGGGTAGGACAGGTAGATCTTGTTAGGAAAGGGAAATAGAATAGATGGTTTTGGATGGATGGGGGGCTGGAATGGGAGCATCAAGTGAGAAGAAGGAGGAGAGAAGGTGACAAGAGGGAATACAGGGACAGACAGCGAGAATTGAGGGTCATTTGAGGGCAGTATGGAAACCTAACACAGTAGAAGCTTCCTAAAATATACCTATATATGAAGGCAATCTAAATGAAATCACCAAATAATGGGGGCTACAGAGCCCTAACCAGCCATCCCTTGTCACCAAATGAAGCTTCTAGTACTGGGAGTGGATCAGGTCTAATTGAGTTGTTGGCCAAAGGGGTTTCACAGGAATCCCAAAACAACCGAGGCTGTTGCCAAAACTGTAGGTTGCTCTCCACAAACTGAAGGCCCCATTGCTGAAGACAACACTTACACAACTCACTGAACATGGAGACGTTGAGAAGTAGAAGCTGGTGCCAACGAGAGCCTTCACCCGCATATCCTAACAGGATGTTACCAAAAGAAACATTAACACCAACATAGCCACAAACTGATGGACCAGCCTGACTCCATCTTAAGATTAGAGGCCATCTTAACTGGGTGGTGGTGGTGCACTCCTTTAATCCCAGCACTTGGGAGACAAAGGCAGGAAGATCTCTGAGTTCTGATCTACAGAGCAAGTTCCAGGACAGGTAAGGATACACAGAGAAACCTTTATCTCAGAGAACCCCTGTAGTAGTCCTTTCTCATTGGGACCACCATTCCACAAATAATGACACAGAGACTTTTTATGAAAGCTTCGACTTGTTTTCAACTAGCTCTCTCTCTCTCTCTCTCTCTCTCTCTGGACAGGTTTCTCTGTGTAACAGTCCTGGCTGTCCTGGAGCTTACTTTGAGATCAGGCTGGCCTCGAAGTCACTGAGATCCACTAGCCTCTGCCTCCCAAGTACTGGGATTAAAGGCGTGCACCACTACCACCCGGCTTCAACTAGCTCTTATAACTTAATTAACCCATATTTTTAAATCTACATTCTGCTCCATAGCTCATTACTTCATCTCCGTAATGCATGCCCAGCTCT